AGCAAGCCTCACTTGATCCTTCTGCCCCTCAAAATTATATCGATTGTTTCTTGGCAAAGATGGAGCAGGTAGGGCCACTTATCCAGGCCTTTCCCTTCTCCCTTGGGTGGCACCAGAGTTCAGCTGCCAGGCAAAGGGGTTGGTGGTGGGTCTGTGGGGTGCAGCTGTTGTCTTCCTGTTGGTGCCAGACACCCCCCCCCCCGCCTGGAGTTATTGCCCCCTTTCTTTTTGGCCATCAAAGGCAGCTGAGGCCGTCAGGTCTTCAGGATCCAGGCAGGGCTCCAGCGTCAGAGGTTGGGCAACCTGACTCTTCTGCAGTCACCTTCCAACACAGAGCTTAGCTAAGGGATGGACTGGTCAGAGTAAGGGGGGTCCCCAGCCTCTAGGCTGAAGCCCACTGCTGGGCCGTGGAAGCGGCAGGTGAGCTGCACTTGTGTAAGGAGAGGGGGAGCATGCCCCGGAAGCTCCATTTGTGGGAGTGCTGGGTGCACATGCCAGCCATAGGGACCAATAGAGCTGTGTGCGCATGCATGCACTCCCCTCTTACACACACACACACACACACAGAGCTTCCAGGCAACTGTACTTGGATGCCCGAGAACCTTCTTTGACATCTGGGCACTGAAGGAGACACACACACACCTGCTGAATTTGTCAAGGCGGAGGAGCAGGGATTTCCACAACTGCTGCCGACGGAGCCTTAGGGAGCCTCGCTGGAAGAGACGCTGAGGGTGTTATCGGTGGAATAGCCTTGACCTTCATGGGCCTCATAAAGCGGAGCTTGTAAAATGGGATGATGACATAACACAGCAACATCCGTCTCTCTCCAGCCCGAGAGCTTCGGAGGGAAGGCAGGCAGACTCTACCTTGTCCTGAAGATACGTTTCCACCCCAGAGTGCCCCACTTCTCATCCCAGGGAGGCAACTGGCCGTGGGGTGAATCGCCTTGGGAAGCTCCCCCTAGGAAAGGCCCCCGGGCCACATCCTGTCTCAGCTCTGCAGCTGCCGGACCTCCTGGCTGCAGAACCTTTGCAGGTTCATTCTGTCCAGGCCAGAAAAATTTAGGAGATTTGCGGCCAGCAGAGCCTGGAACGAAACTGGCTTTTTTCTTATCTTCGACAGGAAAAGCAGAACCTGGATTCTGAGTTCTGCATGGAGAATTTGGTGATGGCCGCTTTCAACCTGTTCTTTGCTGGCACGGAAACCATCGGCACCACCCTGAGATACGGCTTCCTCATCCTGATGAAGCACCCCCAGGTCCAAGGTCAGGGAGGAAGGAGCCCCCTCCCCCGGCACTCCAGGGGCCTCCCCAGCGATGGGCTGGCGACCAGGGGAGGGATGGGGGGGGTCTTTTCTCGCCCATTGGCATCACGGGAGCTTCCGGTCTGGGAAAGTGGGCAGAGCACAACAACCTCTGGCCCTCGGCTGCTGGCGCTGAGGCTGCAGGTTCTGAGTCCAGCTTGTGGCCCCCGGGGAGCTCAGGAAGTGAACCCCACAGGGTGTCTTTTTAATATGCAGGAGAGAAATGAATGGACTCTATGGGAACGATCGTTTTAGGAGATTCATTCGTGTACATGGAGGAAACCTTATTCCCATTTTGACCCCTCTCCCTCCGTGGCCACAAACGTTACTCTCTGCCCCCTGGTTTGCTCTGCACGCCCATTTCATGGCAAGCAGGCGGGTCTGTCGCTGCTTTGCTTTCAGGGGGCTTCACAAGAGTCCACTGCAGGCCTTAACCCCCCCCCTCAAAGTCTGAGCTTCCTCGGTCGTCTTTCCCCAGAAAAGCTCCAGGAGGAGATCGACCGAGTGATCGGGGCCGGCCGCTCGCCCTCGGCTGAGGACAGGAGGCAGATGCCCTACATGGAGGCAGTGCTGCACGAGATCCAGAGGTTCAGTGACATCCTGCCCATGGGCCTCCCCCATGCCGTCACTCGAGACACCTGCTTCAGGGGATATGCCATCCCGAAGGTGAGGCTCTGGGGCAGGGCGGGACTCAGGGCACCGGCCGGAGCGTTGGTCCGGCATGCTCCCCTCCATTACGGCCTCCGGGGGTGTCATTCGCGCCAGAGCTGCACTGCCCCATTGGCCAGTTCTGCATGCTCAAGCGGAAGCTGCCCCTTGCTAAAGGGTGACCTGAGAGGAGGGGGGAGGGGAGAGTATTTCCCTCCTTTCAACGGAATCTCATCCAATGGGTGGGCAGCAGACCCAAATCGCTGGGCTCCCTGGCAGAGGAAGGCTTTGTCGGAGGGTCCTGTGGGGGGAGGTTCTGCACCTCATCCGGGGCTTTCATGCCTCCAATGTCCCTCCCGCTCCTCCTGCTTGGATGCTCCTGCCAGGGGACCTACGTCTACCCCTTGCTCAGCACGGTGCACTACGACACTGAGCATCACAGCAGCCCTGAGAACTTCGACCCCGGGAGATTCCTGGACAGCGACGGCCATTTCAAGAGGGCAGAGGCCTTCATGCCTTTCTCAGCAGGTGTGTCCTGAGGGTGGGGCTGGGTGGGGGGCTCCCCTCCCCTCTTTCCTCCCCTCCCCTTTCACCCCCTTCCCTGTTTGTGCCACTCGCTCCTGCCCTTCCCTCTCGGCCGGCTCTCCCTTCTCAGAAGGAGGCTCAGCCTCAGGCTGCTTGAAGAGCACCAGGGCCCCCGGCGGCCTCTGGCATCCACCCGGCCGATCCACTTTTGCCCCCCTTCTTTGCAGGGAAGCGGCTGTGCCTGGGAGAGGGCCTGGCCCGCATGGAGCTCTTCCTCTTCCTCACCACCATCCTGCAAGCCTTCACTCTCACCTCACCGGTGTCCCTGGCAGAGATCAGCATTGTGCCCGATGCCAGTGGCGTCAGCCGTGTGCCCATGAGATACCAGCTCTTCATGGTACCACGCCGAGCTTGATAGTCTGCTTCACCCATGCAGTTTCCCTTCTGCCGCACTCTTCAAACGCCCAGAGGGAGGGAGGGAGGGAGGGAGGGAGGGAGGCTGCGAGGTCCTTCAGCAGGGCAATTCATTGGGAGCGAGTTCCTGTGACAGCACCCAGTGCTGTGAATAGAAAAGTGTCTCCGTGGCTCCTCCTGGGGGCTCCCTGAGTACCTGGACACTTTCCTTGCAGACCCCAACTGGGCAACACCTTCAGTGCCGCTCCGGCATAGCCGGGCTGTGAAACCTCTGCAAGGAAACCCCCCAGGTGAGGGGCACCGAGAGGGAGCCCACACCTTCCAGCTCCCTTGAGGGCACATGGTGCAGCAGCTGCTTCCCCCTGCAATTGCCCCCCAAATCAGGAAGCTGATGCTGGGGGAACTCGTCCCTGGAGTTCAGGGGCTGGGATGGCAGTGTTGGCTCTGTGAAGCCGAGAAGGGCACTGTTTCCAAAGAGGCAAACCGAGTCACGCTTTCTGCGCAGGTGAGCCCTTTTCCCACAGCTCCCAAAGGAACAAACGAAATGCTTGGAATAAAAAGTGCTCGCTTCAGTAACGCCAGTCTCTGCTTTCACTTTGTCCCCATTGGGAGGGAGCCCAGCGGGCAACAGCTGGCCCTGAGGATGCCCACAAGGGAGCAGCTTCTCTCGGGGGTGGCAGGCGAGATAAGGGGAAAGTCTTGGTCTTCCCAGCCCCACCTGAGGCCTTGGGGAGGATGCTGGCAGCTTCGCTTTCACCAAGGACATTCCGGGCCTTCAGCAGCTCTGCCCTCCTTGGGTGCCCAGGGCATGAAAACCATCCAGGCAGCACCAGAGGCAGAGCCCTGTGCCCTTCGACCACCCTCCCCCTTCAAGGAAAGGGCTGGGCTTTTGCTCCTTGGGGGCAGAGCCTGAAGTAACAGCCTCAGAGGGGGAAGCAGAGCTCAGGGGGGAAAGGCTGGATGGGGAGGGAACAGGGTCCGCCTTGGCCCTGGCAGAGAGAGGCCAGGAGGTGCCTTGAGTGCCAGCAGACATTTGGGGGGAGGGAGGCAGACAGATATCCCCATCTGGGTCTAGGGAGGGTGGGCCGATGGGCAGAACATGGGCACGCCTGCCAATGCCCCCTGGCTCCCCCCAAGTGGGTGTGGGGAGGAAAATCAGGGCCAAAGGGAGGCAGGTTTGAAAGAAGAAGCAACGGTTGTTTCTGAGAGGAGTGGAGTTTATTTCGGGAGGCACAGCACAAGCAAAGGGCAACGTATAGAACCAGCTGTTCAAGGTGCCACCTTACAGTTTCTGTGAGGAAAAAGCTGCCCATTGAAGGGGCAGCCCTGCTTTCTGGCACAGGACCCCTGAACTTGGCCTCCGCTGCCATTTTAGGTTGGCAAAGAAGGTTTATTTGTATACAAAGCAAGGCAACATACAGAGGAGATTTTGCAAGCCAGAAGCCCATCCGAGTTGCCAACTTCACAGGAGAGAGGCGGGGCTGAACCAGGCTCTCTGCTTCTGCCTCCTTGCCCGTCCCAGAGACCAGCCTGCCCCAAGTGAGGTGGGCATCCCAGGATATGTTTCCCAGCTCAGCCAAGCTGCTCCTGGAGTACCAACAGCATTTAATGGTGAATGTTTCTAACTTCAGTAGCACCTTCAGCATCCAGAGGACTTCAGAATGTGGGGAGAAAGGGGGAGACCTGAACACGAGCGGAATTCCATGCCCCCCCAAAGACGTTCTGAAGGTGCTGCTGGAGGGCACAGAGGTTGGGGTACATGAGTTGGAACAGAATGAAGGTGACAGGGTGCCCGTAGGTGCCAGGCTCCCGGGAGATGGAGAGGTAGCTGCGGTGCCCTCAGCAAGAGAGCCATCTCCTTAGAGGGCATCTCCTGCAGCCAGAGGAAGTTGGCAAGGTGACGGGAGATGCAGGAAGGGACCTTGCAAAGGGTCCAGAGGGCCCCTCCCTCAGCGGGGGATGACGGAGATCTCATAGATCCGTGGGATCGTGCCAAACCCCACCAACATTGGGGAGAGGTCGATGTCTTCAGGGGGCACAGCTGACTTGAAGCGGAAATGCTGAAGGATGCTGGTGAGGAAGAGGAAGAGCTCCGCACGTGCCAGATGTTCCCCGAAGCAATAGCGCTTTCCTGCAAAAGACCAGAGCAGAGAGGCCGGTGGGCAGGAGGACCCCCGTGTCTGCCTCCCCAATGGGGCCTGAGGGGGTCCATACTATGCAGAAGCAACGGAGGACTTGGGGGTCCCTTTTGCAGCCTCTGAAACTTTTCCCAATATCCGCTTTGTGGCTCTAACTTATAACTGTGTCCGAGTGGAATGATTCACGGTGCAGTTTCTGGATCCGTCCTGTGGCCTCAGCATCTCTTTTGGATTTGTGCTTTGTGGATGAAGCACTGGGACCAGGGTGCGTTTCTTCACCAGCTCTCTGCTTATCAGGCAGGAAACAGGGGTGACCTTGAGGGGGTTCTCGGAGGTGACTTTCTGGCATGAAAAAAAATCAGGGCTCACCTGTAGAGAAGGGTATGAAAGCCTCATTCTTCTGGAACTGCCCCTTCTCATCCAGGAAGCGTTGGGGGTCAAACTCTGCAGGTCTGTCAAAAT